TGGGTCGAGGGCATCTCGGGGGCTAGGCGTCCTGGGGGTGTCCGAATAGAACCTCCCTCTTCAGGAGCATCTTGGGGTGGAGAAGGGCAGACGGGGGGGGGGAAGACCCCAAGAGGTGGCCAGGAGCGCTCGTAGCAGCCGACCTCCTCCAGGTTTACTGAGGTTATTCTGGGCGTTCTATGTGTGGGATCATGGGAGTTGTAGTCCACCCCATGTGGAGGGGAATGACCTCTGGTGGCCTGCTGAGAATGAGGAAGATCGTGGCTGAACGATGGAGCCTCTTGCAGCCCAGCTGTAAACTTAGAAGGACTTTCTGAGTCAGTGGCATTTTTTAAGGGAAACGTTGTTTGGGTGCATTAAAAAAACAAACGCACACGAGCTCTTGGACCAGCTTGGACCAAGGGTGTCCCTAGATTTAAAGGCAGCTTCGCATAGCTTTGTTCAGGTGCTCTGTGGACCAACCTGGAGGGCAAGCCGGGGGGTGCTGCTGTCACTATCTGCTCCCCCAACTGGACAGCAGGGTAGAAAACTGTAAAGAGAGCTTTGGATACAGCATCTTTTCCAATAAAGATCTATTAAGGAGCACATCTAATGTAGGAGTGTTTGGGAAGCTGAACTCAAAATGAGCAGAATAACCCCTTTTGTTGGAGGTTCTGATTGTGCTCATGAGATGGAAAGCCCCCCCCCCAGGAGTTTTATTGTTGGAGTTTGTGGCTACCTTCTCTGATCATCACCTACTGTTTTCTTCACTTCAGCAGCCCCACGCTTTGAGTGCCCTGGGGATTTCTCAGCCGTCCCCTTTGCTCCTGGGCCGCCTTTCTCCCCAGAGATGCTGCAGGATCCTACAAAGCAGCTTTTGCTGATCAGAGCCCCAGCTAACTTCAGTCCAGAAAGGTAGGAGAGTATGACTTTGTGTGTCGGGGGGGCAGTAGGAAATGGGGGTAGGGGACAGACATCCAGTCACATTGGATGCCCCAAATAAAGGGGAGTGGATGAGGCCATGCCTGGGACGGAACTGTGACTTTGGGCTTGATGGACACCCGTCATGCTCCTGGGGAACCTACATGGAGCATCACTGCTTCTGCAGAATTGTTTCAGGGTTCAGCTTGGCTTGTAGTAGCAGCAGTATCCGCAAGCATGTTCCTTTGATTTGGGGAGGTGGTTTAGAGAGAATATCCATGTTGCTTTATGGATCACAGCCAGCGCTCACCCTGCTTCTTCCCTCCAGCCTCAACGGCCATCTCGTGCCCCTGTCGGGCTTGCAAACTTTGAAGGTGCAGCAGCCGAACAGGACATACAAGCTCTATGGCATCCAGGCGACTCCAGGGGAATCGAGCAGCTGTGCCCGCTTGCTCGCCCCTTTGGACCACCGGGGACAAATCGGTTGCGCCCCGCCCTTTGCTGGATCCCTGAGCGTATGGGAAAGATTTGGGGACACCAGTGCCAACCAGATCCTCCTCCCCGTAGCAAACAGGCTAGCGCCCCAGATCCCAGAAGGCCTGAAGCAGCGTTTCCTGCCTTTTGGGGGACAACTAAAAAGGCCTCTCCCTCCTTCACGCACGAGAGATGCAGAGACGCCTCCCCGGAAGAAGAAAAAGAAGAAGAAACGACAGCTTTATACGATGGGATATTTGGGGGATCCAGAAGAGCAGCAGCCCCCAGTGGGCAGAGACCTGGAGGTGTCATTTGGGGAATCCACAGCACCTTTGGAAGGAGGAACAAGCCACCGGCGGGAAGAGGAGCAGCAGGAGAAGAGGACAGTGGCAGAGGGGGGTGAAGTGCTTGGCCTGTCTGGTGCCGTGGAAGAGCTGCCCGAGCAGGAGACCCAGGCCAGCAGCAGCTGGGTGGCTTCTTCGCAAGACAGTTTTTTCTCAGGGGAGGCAGAGGAGCTGAGCCACAGGATCAACAAGAAGAAGAAGAAGAAGAAACACAAAGAGGAGGTCGTGGAGAACAAAGACCCACTGCCTGACCTCAACTCAGCCAACCGACAGTCTGAAGATGAGCCCCAGCGGCAGGGGCAGCTGGAGCCCCAGGCAGAGGGAAACGGTGACCCAGGGGTAGAGGGACTAGTCCAGCACAAGCATAAGAAGAAAAAGAAGCATCGAGAAGACGCTGTGCCGGCACAGGCAGACCTCTCCTCCCCTAAGGAAGAGGCTGGGAAAGACCCGTGGGAGGGAAGTGGACTGGGGAATGTTGTGGACAGCAGCCTGGATTTAACAGAAGAGGGCCCTCGGGGAGAGCTCCCAGGCCACAAGTCCAAGAAGAAGAAAAAGAAGAAGGAGAAGGTGGAGGAGGGGAAGCAGCAGCAGCAGCCTTTGGGACAGGAGGCGGGCCCGGCGTTGCTGGAGCTCGTTGCTGTCAAGCGGGAGCAGACGGGTTGGGATGAACTAGACGCTGCCTCTGGGGAAGGCATAGGAAGGACTGACTCTCTTGAACTCAGCCTGGAGGTGCCAGTCCAGAAGCACAAGAAAAAGAAGAAGAAAAAGGAGCAGGAGAGCGAGGCTCCTTAGGAGAGGACTGATTTCCTGAGCAGGAATTCCCAGGAATTATTCTACATTTCCAGACTGGGCTGTTTTGCTTTGGGGAGCACCAGCTCCGCTCCCATTTTATGCAAGGAAGCACCCACCCCCACCGGCACTCCAGGGCCCTGGAAGAACTCCCTGGTCAGCTCATCTGCTTCGTTCTCACTATGCCGGGCAGTGTGGAGGGGGTGCCGGCCCCAGCCAGCAGGAAAGCCCATTTGCACGGCTTCTGCTTTTACCAGCTGTGCCTCTAATAAAGGAACGAAGAACTGGAAAGGGCGAAGCAGGGACCCAGGTTTCTCTCAAGGTGTTTCTTGGTTTAAGGGCTGCTCCTGCCCGAGAGCTGTTGGAATCATAAGTGGCTACCTTGTTGTTCTTGGTGCCTCCTGGTATATTTTATTTAATGCATTAACTGGTGGATTAGGTAGGGAGAGGGTCGTAGAGGCGGAACAAAATAAAGCTTAGGTTCTCTACCAAGAAGGCTCTGCGCTCTGCTGGGTTTCCGAAGGTCAGTGGAAGCAGGTGGGCAGCCATCCAATGCATTTGTGCATAGTCTGAGAACAAAGGATTTTTCCCCTCCATCTCCTGCTTGTGGTGGCCTCAGTTTACTTGGGACCTTTGAGAAATGGCTGGTGTAGGACATCATACAGTCTCTTGGCCTGAAGGGAAGAAGGGCAAGTGAGAATCACCATCAGGTCATGGGGATGGGAGACACATCTTTAGGGTTTCCAAAGAGGCTGCCCCATAGTTATCTCTAAGTGTTGGCCATCCTTGGACGGTGCCAATGAGATGCCTCTTCTGGGCTTGCTTTGCTCCATACGGCAGAGTCCACAGGTCTGCCACCTTCTTAGCAGCCCCAGCATCTGTCAAAAGTCTGGGGGTTCAGTTTCCCCCACTGAAGTTCCCAGATCTCCCACACCTGCCTGACCGAATCTGTGGGACCCGCGGGTACAAGCTCTGCAAATAACACAGCTGAGAAATGCTGCTGAGCCTGCTGACCCAGACTGGCCTTGTGCCGGCAGACATGCATTCCACTTTTGTCCCTTTGGTCAACAAACCAAGGCCTTTGCAGTAATAGCTGGGAGACTTTTAAAGGACAAGGAAAAACCTCCAGCCTCAGCCACTTCGCCAAATAACATGCAGGCTACACGGCCTTCCTCGCTTACCTTTTGGGGCCCAATCCCTGGGCATAGGGATAAGTCTTCCTTCGATGCTTGGACAACGTTGGCAAGAGACTGCAAAACAAGAGAAGGCTTTTAAGATTAAGCAGGGCCAGAAAGAGAAAGCTAAGCAGATGTGAGAGGGGAGCAGCTAAAGAGACAAATAAGGATCTTTGAAAGAGAATGGGATGGCAATTGGGACACAGGCGTTCACAGCAGGGCTTTTACTTGTGCGCAGGCTTATCCCGAGAACATCTTTTCTACTCCGAAGCTCAAAGAGAAGGTTTTAGGGAAACTGCAGGCAAGCTGAGAATAAGACCTGAAATGTGTGCTTTTCAAAGGCCCTCCCTCCCATAGCTCTAGCAGAGAGAGGTGACTCACTCCGAAGGTAGACAGCAGGCTCAGTGTGTCTGTCTTGTTCACGGATTTCACGCTGGTCAGGCAGTCCGTCATCTGGAACAAGAGAATGAGGCAGCTGCCGCATCCGACCTCCAGCCAAGAACATTTCTTGACCATTAGTAGGCTGGATTGGTTTATCAAACTTCAGAGGGAGGGACAAGCCGTGTATCACATCTCGGGTTTAAGCAGGCCCAGTGAATGTGCACAAGGGAGCTTGTGTTAGATGTGAGATCCACCTTAGATGCAAGGCGCTGTCTGGGGATGCAAGGGCAGACAACTTTGGCCCTCACAGGGTTTGGAAGCCGCACTGGCTATTGCTGCTGGAAGTTTTTGGACCAGAAGCACCTGGGAGGCCACAGAGGCCCCTCTTTAAGGACACTGTCTTCAGTCTTGAAGAGCGAACAAGTACGTTGTCTCCTGCCATTTCCCTCCAAGTGGGGAGGCTTTCAGGGTAACTGGTAATAAATATTGCCCGTTTGTGACCAAACTGGTGACACCAAGAAGGTTAAGGGTCTGGCCAGGGTGTGAGTGAGCGGAAACTGGAGAGAAGGCAGGATACAAATGTTAAAGAATGGAGCTGTTTGCTGTTGAACAAAGTCTGATCCCATCAGGCAACTTGGGGTGGCAAGCTCTTACCCTTGATAGGTAGTCTTGATCAATTTTCTCCTTCAACATATCTGCTGGTTTCTGCTCATAGGCTTTGTATGTTTCCAGGTAGCGGCCAGCTTCCTCTGGACTAAAGGTAGGAAAGGAGAAACCCAAGGTTGATTTTAGAGGCCCCTGAGCAAAGACCCAGGAGAAGCCGCTCCAAATACCACTCCAAGAAATGTTTTAAGCTTAGAAATTATATTACTTTGGTCTGGCTGTTAGGTTCAGACATCTGCAGTCCCCAACTACAGAGGTTCTCAACCTTGGGGAACCCTGGTGTTCTTGGACCGAGACTCCCTGAAACCTCAGCCAAGCCCAGCTGGTGGCAAAGGCTTCTGGGAACTGTACAGATAGATGACCTTTTAGTTGGTTGTTCTGGGTTTTTTGGGCTCTTTGGCCGTGTTCTGAAGGTTGTTCTTCCTAACGTTTCGCCAGTCTCTGTGGCCATGGGCATCTTCAGAGGACAGCACTCTCTCCTCTGAAGATGCCCATGGCCACAGAGACTGGTGAAACGTTAGGAAGAACAACCTTCAGAACACGGCCAAAGAGCCCGAAAAACCCACAACAACCATTAGATCCCGGCCGTGAAAGCCTTCGCGAATACATTGACTTTTTAGTTGCTCACCTCCAGGCCAAGATAAGGGTGCAGTCAGCAAGGATGCAGATCTTTGCGAGCTCTTTGAGTGCCTGCTGCGGGTCTTTCTGAAAGAAGCAAGGAAGGATTTGGTAAGCTGAGCCCAGCAAGGCTGGAAGGACCATCTGTGGCGGAGAATGAGGGAATCAAAAAGGAATTGCAGCATGAAAGTGGATCAGGACCACAAGCAACTCCTTAGGTCCTGCCCTTTCCTCCCCACTACAGGGGCCAACCAGATGCTTTGTGGAAGAAGTCCACAAGCACCCCATGAAAGAAACGGCCTTCTACTACTGACCCGCCCGCTGCATGCCTGCTGACTTCCCAGCAGAGTGGAAGACCCAAAGCAGCCCACATGGCCCAGGGTTCAGAGTGTTCTGAGAAGACAGGGCGTAAGCAGCCTGTGAGCTGCTAGTCGGAGGGCGGGGAGGGAGAGGTTCCTTGCAAGCTGGCCTCTTACCACGTCAACCTGCAGCAAGAGAACCTGCAGCATGTACGTCTTGCCCAGGTTGCGCAGCCTTTCATGGATGTAGTTTGGGTTCAGGTTATGGTACCGGAGGCTGTGTGTGGAGAAGAGTAAGAGTAGAGTGAGTTGTGGGGCATACTTTTCCCCCTGAAGGGACAGTGGGCGAAAAGAGGCAGCTACTAGGCCCATTAAATCTTTGCACTCGACAAATCGCAAAGTGCAGATGCTCAAACAAACAAAAGTCCCACTGTTTGCTGACTCAGACGGGTGAGACATTCGCTTATTCCAGCATTAACACTGTCGAGGGTGAGGTGAATAAGCCAGTGTTTGCGCGCAAGCCCTTTTAACTCCAATATGGAGCTGTGTAACACCGGCTTCTCTTCAGATCTCTCTTATCTCTTTTGCCTCTACTGTGAGCGCTTGAAAGGATCTTCATCTCTATATGTGGCTAAAACTAGTAATTGCCTGTCTGACTACAGGCCTCGCCAGCCATTATCAAGAGTTCCTGCTGAGGAGGTATCACAGAATGTTCACCAACATTCTAACTGCTCAGAGGGGAAGCTCCCCACAACAGAAGGGGGGCAGTACAAGACACTAAATGTGGCAGCTGTAGCATTTTGTGAGGATTGGAGAGAAAAAAGATGTCGGGGTTCCATTTTGAAGCTCCCACTATCATATGCAGATAGGAGATTTTAACCCTTTTTCTGCTAAGATCCTACATGCTCTACATGCTGCCCTCTGCAAAAAAGAAAAGGGAATAAGTGCCACAAACTCCTTTGGAAAGAAAAATATCTCAGACAGTGCTTCCAGCAATGCATGTAACTATGTATGGTTAAGCCTTCAGGGCCTAGCAAGTGGAGACAGATGCGTACACTTGGTCAAAACAATACAGACAGGAATGCTATGATGTAGGGAGCCGGCAGGCTGGAGGCAAGCCACAGAGCAGTCAGTGAGCCAAATTTTATACGTTTAATTGAGTCAAACTGAGTGCATGTGCATGCAAGAGAGGGAGGACGATGGAAACTGAGATGAGAGAAATATTTTGTGTGAATTCTCTCCTCACCTTAAAAAAAGCGCGCAGGTACTTTGGCCCAACACATAATCTGGGACAATCTCGCCAAATTCCCAGGGCACGTTGCGAACAAACTTCAGAATGGGGTTTCCCCTCTGAGGAAAGAAAGAATCAAGGTGGAGGGGCTTCCAGTACAAAGACCACTGAAGGAAGCCACAGGGGACTCCTGAGAAAGAGCGAGCCAAAAGCCAGGGGCTGAATATGCAATCCATTAAGGCTAGAGTGGTCGAAATGACTAGATAGGCGGGGTATAAATACAATAAATAAATAAATAGAGTGAGAATATATAATGAGAATATAATGACCCAAAGCAAGGTGCCATCAACTAGTTTGGTTTGCCAGTTGCAACCTCCTTACTAGGAGGTTAGGCAGGTTAGACCATTTCAATAAGGGCAGCAGAAATAATAAGGAGTTTTGTGGCACATGAAGGATTAACATATTTCTTTAGCACCTAGGCTTTTGAGCACCGGAGCCGACATCGTCAGTTGCACAGAACTTAGGCCAAGTGAAGTGTGTTAGTCATCCAGATGCCACACAAGGCTCTTTGCTGTAACCCAGCTAGCTCTGGAAATGCCAGCGGAATTGCCCAAATTGGGGGGGGGGGGAGGGGAGCCCCAGACGGGAGGAGCTGTTCTCTGCCCCTCTCTGCCCAGTCCTGCCTCACCTGACGGGGACTAACAATGATGCTGTTATGCTTGGCACCGGGCTTCGGGGCTGGGTTTGAAGGAGGGCCCTTGTCTTCTGCTGCGCTGGTCTTCCCTAGGGTGCTCCTGTTCTCGTCGGATGGTGGGGCCACTTCTTTGAGGGCAGTGGTTGCTGGTACTGTGGCAGCCGCCGCTCCTTGTTTCAGTGGGGGAGCAGAAGAAGTGCCTGCTTGTCCCACAATGTAATCCGCGTAAGAGACAGCCTCTGATCTGGCCGGAGCACTGGGGACCTGTGAAGGCCCTGAAGCTGAAGACGGTTTAAAGAGCAGTTTCACCTGGAAAAGGGGACGGAGTGGGTAAGATAAGCAAGCAAGCAATTGAGCCTCTGCTTTGTTCCTGTGAGGAAGAGGACCTGATGGACAGGCAGACCCAAATGAATATTCAGCCACCACGTCCCTTATTCAGTAAGAGCCCCTCCCAAAACAACTATTTGAAACCTGTTGTGCCGGGGCCACGTCTTCATCCGGTATCTTCACTGTGAACTTCCTCCTCCCTTCTGGGGCCTTCTTGGCTGCTTCAGGCTCCATTTCTCTCTTTGCTGACAAATGGAAAGAATGTCCATCTCAGAACGAGGCTCCATCTCTCTGAGGCAGCTGCTCCTGCAAACCAGGCGAGTCGCCACAGGATTACAGACCGGTTTGTAACTTGGTGGCAGCTCACCTGGTTTCAGGAGCCACTGCCTAAAAGCTAGCCCAGCGTCAATCCAGGCCTTTCCAAAGGCTGCTGAAAGCCAGCAGGGGAACCCACCCGGTTACCATTTTGCATGGCTTCCCGTTCTGCAAAAGGGAACGAAGCGCTGGACAAGCTCAAGACACAGAACAACAGGGTGACACATGTGGAAACCTCCACATACTCTAGCTTTCAGGAAAAACCCTAATCGGGGCTTAAATGGGAAATGCCCCGTGCATGCCACATGGAAGAAGGAAAATCAACTATTAAACAAATGAATGTATGGCAAATGCAGCTGACATCACAGGACAGAGGGAAGAAGACCGACTGGATAAATTTGATTATGATGATGCTACTTTTCTCCAAATAAGGGACCACCGGGAGCTACTCCTGTCCCACTGGCATAGATGGCTTGGAGAAATATAGATACTGTGTGTGTGTGTGCACTTAAAAATGTGAACTGCAGGTTCCTTGGGGCAGAGACCTGGCCAAGGACTGATTACAGGTGAACAGGTGACTTTCTTGCACTACAATTCCCAGAACTCCCCAGTCTCCACAAGCCATTGCCTAGGGGTTTATGGGAGTCGTAGTCCAGAGACGTAATTTTTTCAGAGTCCTGGTTACTTCTTATTGCCATCAGAGGAAGCGGGTCAGGGAGGATGGCCCTGCGAGTGAGACCCCCTCCTCTGAGGTGGACGGGGCCGGCATCACTATAGCAACGGAGGGAGAGGGGGGGGAAACAGGGAGAAAGAACTCTGCTGCCTGATTGGTTGCATTAACAGCCAATGGCGATTACGTACCTGCCTCTGGCGCCTGCGCATTAGGTCTTGGGCGTTGGGGCCCGTCCTCCTTCGCGGGTAGGGCCCTCCGATGAAGCGAACCTCGGCCACTCGGTGGCGGCGGCGGCGGCGCTGCTTCTTCCGCCACGTAGTCAAGGCCAGTAACGGAGGCTGTAAGGACGCAGCGGAAGACGAGATGCCATGCCGCGCCTTCCAGGCCTTGTTAAGGGACCCGGATGTGCCGCAAGCCGGAAGGGCCCTTCTAGACTTAGAGACTCTATGCTCCTGCCGGATTGGGCGTCCGGGCGCAGCTAGAGCGGACCAATTCCCTCTCTATGGTCGAGACTTCGAAAGTCGCGGGACCAGGGAAAGCGAAGTCGGCCTCTAAATTTAAGACCTTATTTCCCTGACTTGTAGAGCTTTAAAGCCAGCGCCCCGCTAGGTGTGTTTAAATAGTAAGTGACGTAAAGTAGGCCAGGTCAATCCGCTTCCGGTTTGCAGCCAGAACGTCTCTTTGGGCCGGCGCAGGGAGGGCCCTTCTATCCCCAAACGTCTATGGTGGTTGGAAAGATGGATGCTTGGCCTCCATTTTGCCAGCTCTCTTCTATCCGCAGCTTCCTTTGTGGGCGCATCCAGCGCATGCGCCAAAAGGGAGCAAACCGGAGTATGTACGTACAGTACATATAAATCCTGATCTAGCTCAACAGCTCCCCCTACTGTGCCTAGTACTGTCGGCCCCTTCCAGGAAGCCTGAATAAAGTCATATATTTTCTTTTGTTCTCTAGTATAAAGTCAGAGTTTAATTTCTTTTGCACTGTATTTTTACTAATCAGAACCATGTGTTTTTTTAAAATAATTCTCATCTAGGATCACAGAGAAGGGCAGCTGAGTTCAAGTGCTCAATAATTTTCTGATTTGCTCACTAGGCCACCACTATCAGCAACAGAGGATATTGTATGGCTAGGAAATAATCAAGCCAGCTTAGATTTACATAAACCAAGATTTTACTCCCGCCTTAAGGTCCTAGTAAGTTCTAATCAGAGGAGACAAGATTCTGTGTCCGAAACCACAGTCTGTCCAATAAACACTGTATATGCTTTACAAGCTGGTACTCAAGAAACGACGTAACTATCCTCCCCATTCCTTTCTCCTCTCTTAAATCAATTCCTTTTTTATATTGGAATTTCGGCTCTGGTGCCTTTTAAAAGACAGCATCTCCCTAAATCATCTCCATGGGAAGGGCTGTAGGGTTGCAAGACTACTCTTGTTCTAAAGCAATGTCATTTGTTGTTCTATGATTCTGGGCAAGAGGAATTTCGGCTCTGGTGCCTTTTAAAAGAGAGCATCTCCCTAAATCATCTCTAAGGGAAGGGCTGTAGGGTTGCAAGACCACTCTTGTTCTAAAGCAATGTCACTTTTGTTGTTCTGTGATTCTGGGCAAGAACATCCAAACCGTCCAGTTAATTTCTTCTTGGTGAGGCCTCTCCTGAGGAGAAGGAAAATGATTTATATAAGTAGAAAGAAGAGCACAAATCAAAGTGGACCCATTTGGGAGTTGATGGTGTGACTGGACGTCTGTATCCCTGGAAAAAAGTTACAAGTGAAGTATTCTTTCTGGCAGGAAGGGAAAAGCAATCTCTCTGTAGCTTCTCCTCTTGTGATGGATGGATGGGAGACAAGCTGGGTTTTTTTTCCTTTTGGCTCTAAGGTTATTCTAGGGAGGTGGGTACCTACAGCCTTCCAGTGGCTGTGGACCACCTTGCCCATGCGATGGGAGACAAGCTGGGTTTTTTTTCCTTTTGGCTCTAAGGTTATTCTAGGGAGGTGGGTAGCTACAGCCCACGTCTGTTGCTTATTAACACCTCGAGACCAGCAGGTGAAAAAGAGACAGTGTTTAATAGAGAAGGAGGAAGAACACAGAGAACAGGGAGGAAACACATGCCCTTCTCGGATCCCTCCGGCGAGTTGGAATGTAACACCCTATCCCATTATCTTGATCACAAAGACATTAGGATCAGACAAACAACAACATGAACACCAACCTTTTAAGACAACGTACCAGAGACCATGCCATGCAGTGTCTCCTTGCCATGGATGGTGCATGATGCCAGGCAAAGAGGCCGGCCATTTTCTCAACTTAAGCCCTTTAGAGCTGCCATTTGGGGGATGCCACCTTGTACCTTAAAAGGCAAACCCTCCCAAATCTAGCATATCGAAGTCCTGATCCAGCCCCTCATAATCCAGGGCTTCGTACTGAGATTCGGAGTTGCAGGCAGACGGGTGGTAGCCCAATTCCTTGAAGTCTGGCGGGTGTGATTCCACAGGGTGCCCCGCTGTGGACGAGGTGACCATGTAGCCCATGGTGGGGCCAGCAGCGGCACCGCCCATCAAGACGCAAGCTGCCCTCACTCCTGCGCGGGCCGGGGATCCGTGGCGTAAGCAATGCGGGGAACAGGCAGCTGCAGGGAGAGGCAAGAAATGCAAGTCATGTCCACGCGTGGATGGACAGATCTCTAAGTTGTGATTTTTTCCATATTCAAAGTTTAAGCTTTTGAATTCTTTCCCTTTCGTGTGATGAGATTTTACTTTGGGGAAATTCTTTAAAACAAACAAACAAACAAACATTCTTCCTCACCAACCCTCCATTCTTCATGACCCTGCTCACTCAGCCTTCCTGGGAATGAAGCTATTTTTCTCTATACTGTATTTTTTAGATGGACTGTTACATATTAGTACTTGTGTTTTCAATTTCCCAGAATGACATTTTAAAAAAATGTATACTGATTGCTCTTAATATTAAAACTAAGAACAATAAGTATAAGCCTTTTAAGGAGGTAAGCTGCCTCTTTATACTCCTGGTTCTTAGCTTTAAATATTGTCTTTTAATGATGTTATCCACCATTATAGACCCGTTGTTTTCTTTCACTGCTGTCAGCCTCCCGGGTCCTTTTCAAGGAGAAAGGCCAGGTAAAAAAGATTTTAAATATATTAAATAAATAAATGGTTCGGTCCAGGATGGTTCTGAAAGGGGGGGATTTCCCCAAAGAGGCTTTAGAAACAAAGCAGCTACCTTCTCGTATCTCTGTGCCATTAGGAGATGCTCTGCCATTCCCTCCTCCTCCTTTCCCGTGACATTTTCTCACTGGCGAGTTGATATGGAGCTTGCAACTGGAGGGAGACCCCTGAGAGACACTCTGGAATGAGAAAGGCCAACATGAGAAGAAACATCAACACCCCCCCCTTGCCTGCTCTCTATTCATTGCTAACATGAATTTCAATTGAGTTTTCTCAAGACTCATCAATCCATTTCCCACCAAGTATTTTGACAGATTCCAAAAAACAAAACAAAACAAAAAACCCTTATAGAAACCTGAATCTTCAAAAGAAATTACAAAGCTGTCAGGACAACAAAATAATGTTCATATAAAGATAGATGGTTTTCATGAGAAAATTTGTTTGTTTGTCAGATGACCCAACAAGCTTTTCAGAGCAGCTCCAGATGAAGGGTTCGGTGCAATCTTAGTCAAAACAGAAGGACTCTGATGGCTGTTATTCTGTCTTTCATCCTTCCATAGAGGATACTTCGGGTTAAGAAAGGTGGGAAAAAGATGAAACAAGTGGCGGGAAAACATGGGAAAGTTTCATATAAAAGATTGCAGTCACCCTTGTCATGCCATGAGGGAGGCAGTGTGGTGGCAGGAGAAAGACTTTTCCTGATGACACCCATAGCAGAAAACAATATGATTTTTCTAGTAAATGCTCCTTCCTTCCAACCATCCTTCTCTAGATTCTTAACTTCAAATTCTTACCTCTTTAACTTTTCTTAAGATATTGAGCCATTGTCTGCAAAAAGGCAGAAGAAGAGAAACATCATCATGTTATCTCTTTGTGGCTTCTGACATCCATTGCCCCACCCCACCAACGCCGCTGAAGCCGTTGTACCACCCACTGGAGAGTTTACAACCCTCGGCCCCTGGAATGGAGACCAGTAGCTGGATCAGACCATGGGCTTTGCTGGACTGGCAGCCCCCTGTCCTACTTGGGATGCCGAGCAAGTGTCTTGGCTGGCCCTAAGTGGAGATGCTGAACGTTGGACTGGGACCTTCCGGATGCATGCCAGTGGCAACCCTCCCCCAGAAAGACTGTGCTGTGGCCAACTCAAGTCCTGACAGGACAGAGGTATGCAGGTGTCTGTTTTTGGACTATAGCCCCAAGGTATACTTAGGTATCAAGACCACTTGGATTATAGCCAGGGTGTGGAGCCTCAGGCCTGGGGCCGAATCCTACCCTCTGGGCTTCTCCACAACCATCACCCCTTCCTTCCCCAAGGACTTTCCCCCATCTTATTTAATTTTCTGATATACTGCATACCCCATCCCTTTAGTGCAAGCACAACTCTGGGTGGTTTACAGGTGAACACGTAAAACCCCACAAAACCCCACATGACAGCCCCTCCCAGCACAGCCGTGCTGCCCCC